ACTGACCAGCTTGGAAAGTCATCATAGATGAACTTAACATACCACCCACTGTATTCGCATCACCCACTGTCCATGCACTCTAAAAAGCGGGAAAGGTGTGCAGGGTGACACACGGACCGGAGGGGTTCCGGGTAGCTAACCTCTGACACATCCCAGGGTTGTGATCTTGTCCAAGAATCACAAACTCCGTCTCGTGAAAGGCCATCAGAGGGGTTACTCTCAGAGTCTATCCACTCGATCCAAACACGAATTTGAAATCTTTGAAATAAGAAGTGGGCCACCTGAACCAGGGTATGGACATCGATCTGGGAGCTGGAGCCACGGATAAGTGAAGCCACAGCTGCTTCATTATCGATAAACCACAAGATATCCTGGTGTCGCAAGGTGGCTCCATGAAACCAAGGTACTAAAAGTCCACAAAGAGTTTCACCTGGATAAATTTGTTGCGTGCGGGCAGTCCAGGACTGAATCACCGCCTGGGGGACAACACAGGTCACCCCTTGTGGGCGAGGGGACTGGCCAAAAATAACCCAGCCAACTCGAAGGACCTCATGTTCGAAGGACGCATCCGAGTAAACTAGGATTGGTTGGCGCGGGGACGCCCTGACAGCAACATCTCGAGGCCCTGGGCACGTGACCAACTCGACCAAAAGCCGGAGGGTAACACCATCCTCAGGGGAGAGACTAGGGGAGTCAGCATGCTGTAAAGCAGTTAGCGTAGGTCCAGCGATCCTACCTGCTTGGCCTGCGCACATGCTAAACATCCAGTTGAGGTCACCTCTGAGCTTGCCAGCGTCGTCTGGAGACAGACTGTTGGTAGCTAGAGCAAGGTGAAGTTTAGCTAAGACCTTTCTCTGGGTGGTGAACTTGGGTTGGAACCGAATTGATCCCAAAGAAACAAAATCTCCAACATGTACTGATGTACCAAGGTAGTGGCGGTTCCGCCCAGGAGCAAATGATTTGGACGCTTGCGGTGGCGCTCCCATAAGTTGAAAAACAAGCTGGAGTCCGCGCTGCGAGACATCCGCATGGTGAACAAAATCAACCGCAAGTTCATCATCAAAGTAAGCAGCACAGAGAGACAGGGTACAGCGTCTGGCAATCGCGATACCCAACTGGGGAAATCGGTTGAAGCTGACAACTGCGCTCTCTAGTCCGTAAGCCAGCCCGTACATGGTGGTAAACCGCCAGCCTTCGTCAGGGACGAAAACGGCCACATTGGAGAACCGCAAATGGTCGTCTTGGACTGGCAAGCCTCGATAGGCATCAGGCAAATCATCTGTGCCCAATCTCAAGTCTAGCCAATCGGGAGGGTCGGACCCAAGGGTCTCCAAGGTGGTATTGACCGTGCGAGCAACGGAGGCAACAAAATCAACGTTAACGGTCGAAATGGTCTCCTGCATGGAGGTATGCTTGTTATGGCCACTCTTGCGGGCATTATCAATGACCCTCTGTTTGCCATCAGGCTGAATAATAAGAAAACGCTCCACTGCGCGCCAGCCACCAATGCCAAATTGATCATTCATTTCCTGCATAGTTCGGAGTGGGCTGCAAAAACCCTTAATGATCTCATCTTGAGTAACGGCCAAAATTTCCGGGGCGTGCAGGGGGGGTCGGCTACGGATCAACCGCTGTACCTCCTCTTCGGCGGATGGACCCAGCCAGTCAGCCAAAGGGAGTTTATCAGCTTGTTGGATACCTCGGAACACCCCAGACGGCGGAAGGGACCCAACAATAGCGAACCCCTGGACAAGTTGGCGGGCCATATCACGGTCCGGCCACCGCAGGAGGCATGCCATGGTTGCAACAAAAGCAGGCTTTTTAACATGCGCTACTTTGTTGGCACTAGTACACCTTACCGCCGCAAGGCACGGGTTCAGGATCTGCACAGCTTTTTCCACAGCCTTCAGAGCATGCCGCAGCCTTTGGCTGTAAACTGGGAGAAACTGCTGCCAGACACCCAGTGCCTGGACCACAAATGAGACGTCGGGTTCAGGCCAATCATGAGGATGGAAAGGTGACGGGAGTTGCATAGCCTGCTGCACATGTTCATCTTTGCCCAACCCCGGGGGCAAAAGATGATCCAGTCCTTTGGCTGAGGAGCTTGGGTAGCGTTGTCCTGTGAGCCCAGCGAAGATAGCTGTCCGCATACGCCCCCAAATAGGGACTGGTCCCAACACTTCCCAAGGCTCTTGCCGGAGCCGCCTCCACATAGGGTAAGCTTGCAAACTCACCAGATCACAGGCCTGCAACCGGGCCGGGACCTGCTGCCAAGTCCGCTCTGGGATGTCGGCAAAAGCAAATTGGAGCCGCAGGTCCTGGCACACATCAGTAGCAGTCAACACACCCGGCATGACTGCCAGGCGGCCTGGTTCCCAGACTGTATGCCGCAACCTGGCCCCCAATGCTGCTTCCTCGTTGGAGGTGAAGGATGGCACAAACTTTGCCTCCAAAATACTAGGTAGCATAGCCAACAGCGCCACCACACAAGGAATATGGAAGCCATTACCAATGAAAGAGTTCTGGACCTGGGTACGCTTCACTTGGTTGCCCCGAGCCGGTGCTACCAGTGCTGGCGGCAAGCACATCAACTGGCAGCGCTCAGCAGGCGACGGTTGGCGCCACTGCCTCCCCTGCCAAAGGAGTGAATTCTCCTCATATGCCCCCGGGGGAAAACGGCGCTGATCAGCGTAGAAACGTTCAGCTGCCTCGGGGCTCACTTCGGGGACCCGGTCCTCCGGGTGGTAAAACTCACGAGTGAATGTATGCATCGCACCCTTGCCAGCTTGCTGCAAGACCACCTGAGGGGAAAGCAGGGGCATGAAGTGGTCGTCCCAATAAACCTGCGGTGGTAGAGGCTTCTTCCCCACATACCGCAGTTCGGCCACTCCAGAAGTAGATGTGCGCCATTGCCACGACTCTGGAGGTGGGTGGTCAGGGCCAACCACACCTCTTCGGGATCGAAGCCAGAAGAACCGGCGACGCGACACCCAGCCACATGAACTGGCGTCTAGTAGGATGGGCGGTCCCGCCAGCCAGGTCTCATAGGCCTGTTGAACCTGTTTAGGCATACTGGCCACATTCTCGAGGAAAGCAACAATCTCCATGCCCTGACAAGCCGGCAGCTGCTCAAATTCGGACACCAGCCGTTGGAGCTCAAGCGGTTGCTGTGACCGTGTGTCAGCAAGCCCCTTGCGGCGTCGGTTCAGGGCTGAATTGCCTTGACACGGGGAGCCCCCTCCCAGGAGGGCCCCCCGAAAGGAACGTCGGACCAGCATAGGGATGAAGTCCACGGCACGCAAATCCTCTACTCGTCTGACAGGGACAACTTGGGGCATGACGGCTTGGGTGCAATGGGCCGCTTCCTCATCCATTTCAGCGGCTACCGCATAGAAGTGAACTCCCATTGATAATAAAGCAACCAATAACCCGCCAATACCCGACCAGAGGTCCAGGACCAACCATGTACCTTTGAAAGGTTTTGCCCACGGGAACTGAGGCAAATCCCCTTGGCCCCGCCAAGTGATAGGTTTTGCTCCGTACAGGCGGTCAGCCATCGGGGTGTGGCCACTGTGGCCGTCAGGTCGTAGGAGAACGCAGCGGTGGGCCTCAGAAGATGCCGAACTAGCCTGAAGTGGGTCATTCAAGGCCACCTCGCCTGGGCCCCCCCGGGGTTCCCCGACCCTCGGGGGGCGCTGTCCCTATTCATGCTGAAGCCGGGTGTGGCTGGCCAGGCAGGCTTTCCCCGAGCTCAGCTTGACATCGCACTGACGCAGATCTTTGCAGCCCGCCTTGGTGCAACCACGCCCATCATTGAATGGCTTGCAAATCTTCTGGCCCCCTTTCAACATAGAGATAGTGGGCCATTTGTCCGTCTTAACCATGCGCCGCTCCTTGGCAGGACCCTTCTCTTGTGGCTGGTCGCTCTCCGTCATGCGCCGTTTTGGGGAGGAACCTGCCTCAGGCAAGGTTGGCTGGACCCCCGGGGCGCGCCAGTCAATATGGGTTTGGCGTAATGCCTCCTCCAGCGCAGATTGCCCTGTGTAGCCACGGCGGATGAGGGAAGCCATCTTGCTTGATCTGCATATGACATAGCTGGGGCAAGGGGCATGAAGACCTTCTCATTGCCATCGAAGTCTGACACCTTGTACAAACCTCCCCACGCCCAGGCATAAGCCAAAGTGCGTAGTGAAAAGTAGTACTCCACCACGGTGCGAACGATACGATGGTCGTCGGCTGCAAACTCACGCTGAACGCCCGCACCCAGGCGGACTGATTCTTGTTGCTTGGGCGCCGACTGGTGGAGAATAGATCGGACCTTTGCCACACTGATGACCGACATCGTCCTCTTGCGGAATTCCCTATAGACACGGGACCGAAGGGCGTCTGATGGTTCCAGGAACGCATCCAACACCACGCCATACTTGGTGGCAAAGTCCTTGTGAAGTTGTTGCATTGTCGATTCGGGGAGTGTCTCATCAACTGCCTCTGGCTGTTTTGCTTCTGCAGCGGCTGCACGAATGGCCTCCAGGCCAGCTGCATGGGCGGCTTTAAGCCGCGCCCGCAACAACCTGTTGTCCTTCATCTTGGTGGGCTGGAGTACCTGATCCAATGATGTTTCCATGGAAGACTCATTGAAGTAGTAGACAAAATCTTCCAAGGTTTCCCACTTGTGGATGTGGACTAACTCACTCTTCCACTCCTCCAGGATGTTGGCCCCGGCGAAGCAGGTTGTCAATCCACGGTCATCCTGATATGTATCAATGCGCCTGGAACTGCTCATGGTCGTAGGGGCACCACAAACGAAAGCTTGAGTGAACTAGCTACGATCCCTGTGAGCCCGGAGCTGGGTTGCGACAAAGCAAACTCCGAGGGGGAGGTCGCGGACCTACCACCCTGTCCGTCCGAACGAATGACCACGCCCCGACACCCTCCCCATTCCGGTGGCATCCGCGGGGAGGCCAAACTAGGTCACAGACCGAAGGTGCCCCCTTCAAGCCAACCCCAAGGGGGGAAAGAGAAAGGGGGTAGGGGACCCAACCAACACGACCGACTGGGGTAAACGACGTCGGAACGGTCGGTGACCAAGTCAAAACCGAACCCCACCTAGACGCACGTCGACCCCGACCCAGCACCCCCACAGGCTCTGGCCCCTCGGCTTTTTATACACTCAGTGCAACCATCCGCACTGGTCAGCCAGGGAGGCATAGAGGCCTCGTGGCATGCGTGCCAGGCATCGCTGGCAAAACTGACTCCGAACAACCAATCCGAAGCCCTCGCCCTGGCTCTTGGGGTCTTGGGCGAAAGGTGAATCCCGGCAATACGGCAGCTGGCGCTCATCAACCACGCCACTGACAATGTGAACTCGACGGCTTTGGACGAACCACTTGGCTTCTGTGATAGCCGCCTCCTCTGCCAGGACCCCCTCCAAGTCGCTGCCCATAGCCGAACAGTCCGACGCGGACGAGGAGGTAGTAGACGAAGAAACCGACTGGGCAGCCGGGTCAGCTTCCACCACCGGGGGTGTGACGTTGTCTACCTCCTCCGTCTTAACCTCGTCTGCTGGGCCTGCCACAGGCAAGGCACTCCCCGAGGCTTCCAAGGGCGGTGTCTCTGATGGGGGCTGGACCTCAGGCGTCATCAATGCTGCCTCCAATGGTCCAAAGCTCTCTCATCTGGGCTAACTCGGGCCAGGTCCAGGCATCACGGGCCACGAGACCATCTGCATTGAGGGCCAGTTCCGGGAGCTTGCGCCGAAGTAGGTGGAGGAACCTCTGAACCAACGCCCTCTTGACGGCAGCGGAGTGCAACACCTTCTGTCCAGCGTAGTGAAGGCCCATTGACCATACTGCTTTGCTCTTACGAACTGGTTCGGGGCCTCCGGCACTGGGGACCTCCTGCCAGTTTCCAATGGCCTGCTGGTTTGATGGCTGCAAGCCACACACCATGCCCATGGTGGGCAGAAACCGGCGCAGTCTATTGTAGCCAGCTCCCCGGGCCTGGGCATGATCCACCTGCATGGTGATGAGCGCGCCACGAAGGAGTTCCAGAAAGCGACCCCTCGACATCTTCCTGTTCACCAGCCATGCCGTGCCCTCGGTGACCTCCCAGAGATCATCCGAGCTGAGTTGGAGGGCCGGCCACAGGAAATTCAACTGGGGGTTCAGCTCCATGGTCACGAAGTCCCTCACAATCCGGTGGATGCTGAGCCCTTGGAACTCCAGTTCTGGCATAGCCCACGAGTAAGGAGGGCGTGCTCCACGTCGTCGAGCTTTGCCTTGGGAGCACTCGAAGATCAGGCACTGGGGGTGGCTCTCAATGTAATGTGACCTTTGAAAATGTTCAAAGCGTACACACGAAATAGCTGCCCAGACAAAAAATGTCAAAATCAGCAAGTGGGTACCTGATGCTTTCTTCATCATCAATAACAGGTTCACCAGCTCCCAGGGCTGTAGTTCGGTCCTCTGTTGGACCCGATGATCAGGTGGGAGCAGCCTGAAGGGTTGGGTAAGCCAATGATCTGTATTGAAGTTGAGGCCAAAGGTAACCCTGAACCACTTCAAGGCCTGGAACATCGAGGACGCTGCTGTAGGGCCGCCCTGGGCCACGGCGCGGAAGAATTCGCCCAACTGGAGCGGTGTTGGCTGGGCAACGGCGAAAGCCTTCTCAGAGGCGTACCGCTGCCATCGCCTCAAAGCCGCCAGCAGGGCGCCAATCCGCGCCTCGGTGAGGCGTCCGGTGGACTGCATAATCTGATCCTTGAACTGCTGCAGCCGTACGGGATCGCTCAACTCTTCCCAGGTCACCCCCAGCTCGGCGATGTTGAGAAAATCGCTCAGCAACAGGTCAAAGAGGGCCTGAGTTTTGGTGGCCCTCTTGGCTTCAGCCTTGGTGTGGGGATCGGCTGCCACAGCTGCAAGTAGCATTGGTGGTCGCCCTGGGAACCCAGTCTCCAGCAGCTGACGAACGTGTCCCTTGGGACCTGTGCCTTGAGGTGCCACCACCATTGACGTGGTCTCCACGACTGAAACACGGTTCCCGATCACCGCTCTGGCAACGCGCCTGTGGTGATCTTGGGCCCTGCGAGCGGCAAGCGTCCATAAGGCGCTAACCTGGAATGCTTCTTCGGCGTCCAGGGGGCCTTGGATGTGCTCAAGCTCCGTCACCAACTCGCCGCCATGGGACCAAATTCCAACCACGTCCTGACAGGTCTGGACGCCCTGGTGGCAAAATAGCTGTACCAACTCATCCGAGCGCTCGGCAACCAACTCCAGCAAATCGGCCTCCATGGCCTGGTCCGGTTGGCGCACAGTCACAACCGGGATGCGGCCGCGCCCAGGCGACACAGAAGGCGACCGCGGCCTCCTCAGCCGCAGTGGAGGAGGTCCAGGCGGGGGCATGGGCTGCCTAGGAATTGCCTGCCTCGGTGGAAGCACTGGAGGCTGCTTGGGAGGTACCGGACAGCTGCTCTTTGATGAGGTCTCTGGCCTGCTGGGCTGAGATTCCGAGGATCTGCGCGACCTCCTCAATGGAGACCTGGCTGGAGGTAGCTTCGAAATGGGGTGAATTGGCCCTGTCACCCCACCCGGTGATCTCGACCTGGTCCTCGGTGTCTTGGCCTCCTTCTTCGATGTACGCGGCATGGCCTTGCTCCCAAGAGATGTGATCAAACCTGCACTGATCACAGACCAAGTGCAGGTGATCACACTCAGCGCACACCGCCCCAAAGCTCTCAGGTCGGCGGAAATAGCAGCCCTCGCACCAAGAGGCTGTAAATACGCCACAGCAGCGGCAATGGTCAGCCTGCACGTCCGGCCGGCGCTCAACCGTGTCCCAAATCGACACGATGTAGGCTGACCCTGCCCCCAGATCAGCTCGTCGGTCCTCCACCGACAACTCGCAGGGATTGCTCCCCCGGTGCCCGCGCCGCCACCGCCGCGCCCCCGGTTGCCACACCGTGAGCGACGTGCGGCGAATCGCCGGCATGGCGAAAAACAAATCCCTGCCCTGATCTTGAGCCAAAATGGCATCAAGATCAGGAGTTACCCCTGTATGTTTCAAATCCCAAAATGTCCCTACCCAACCATCCATTCATTTTGGGAAGATAAATATAGTATGTATATACACAACTTATAATTACTTATATTTTTAAACAAAATGCTGGTTGTGTTCCCTCCAATGTAAACTTGCCAACTGGTCTGGCATGACATTCATTCCAATCGTGAAGCCGTCACAGTTGGTAGCCAAGAGCATGGTAGGCGCCTTGGTAGCACCACCCCCGTAGGCCACCCGGGTAGGCCATCTACCCTGGTGATCCATGCCAAGCATGATCCGACAGATGGTGCTGTACAAGAAAAGTGCCCAGCAACATCCAACCATACCTGGCCACCCATGTTGGCTCTTCCCCACCTCTTCTGCGTACAAAGGGAAACACATCATAACACCACATAAAATCATATAACATCGGCATTTACTGACTTGCCACTGACCCAACAATTTCACCAACCAAACTTGAAATGACAAAACTGCACCATGAACACCACAAAATCCTCGCTACTTTGCCGAACAAACAGCTGCACGAGGAGCCCCGAGCTTCTCATCATATTCTTGGTCCAAGCTGCTCCTTCTTTGCTTCATCCTCAATCTTATCGGCCATCTTCTCCATCATTGACACCACCTTCTCAGGCAGCGGGCTGAACGTAGCTAAACCCTGGAAAAAAGGCCTGACGTGTGCCACTACTTTAGATGCTTTTCGTCTGGAGCCAAGTCTGTATATCTCAGTCTTGTGAGCCTTTTGAGGGTCCACTCAACTAGAGCCCTAGAAGTCAAAAGTAAAGGAAGTTCCCCTTGACAGTCTTTGACTCTCAGGGTATATCTCTGTCCAACGCCTTGGATGGACTCTATGAGATCTCTATGTGCCCACGCTGGGACCCAGACACAACCGATGGGACTGGCATCTATGCCGCCCCATTTGACAACCTGAAAATCAAACCACCCCTCAGCTAGGTAAATATGGTAAAAAGAAGCAAATACAGTAGGTCATAGAGTCATAGAGTCATAGAGTCATACATGCATCCCGTGGGTGCCTCTTCGGGGTCCGGGGCGGGAGGACCCCAGTCCGCGGCTGCGATAGGCCCGGCCCAGACGTGGCGAGATCTCGGCCCCGCCTTCCGGATGGGGTTGCCGCTGGTCATGGAATCCGTGCGAGTGGTGATGGCCAAGCCTTGGAGTGCGGTGCCGAGTAGCGGTGCCTCCCAAAAAACCATCTGACTCCTCGTCGAGACATGAAAACCAGCCAGGCAAGACCAGGAAATCCATGGAAATCCGGAAAACCAAACAGGAAACCGAGCCGTGAACTCCATGAAACATCATGAAACCAGGTTTTGTTGCAGGGAAGATGGCTGCCATCCTCAGATCCGAGTCTTTGCTTCCCTTCTGAATAACTGGCAAGAGATGCAGTCTGCGAATTCTCTTCACTAAATTGCTTGGCTATAGCAAGATGGGTTCCTGGCCAACATTAAACAATCTCAGATTCTAACAACCTCACGGCGCATCAGTGTGGCACGCACTGCACCGCGGCGCTGGGCTCCCCGAACCACTCGCAGCCAGAGTGGCCACCTGAAGCGACCGGCGGACCGGTGGAGGTCCGGTGTGGCGCTGCGTGGGGTTGGGGGGGGAAGTTGCGTCGCATGGGGTGGGCTGCGTTTGTTGGGTATGGCCTTGGTTGGTTTGGTAGGTTTGGCCGTGTGCATTGATTCCAGATCTGCAGTGTTTCCAATGAACAGATCACAGGAATCCTTCAAGAAATGTCATCACCTCCCGTCTGGAAGACGTGGCACTGGGAGCCCAGTGCCTGGACCCTCTGCTCGTACTCCCATTTAATGGGTACACGATGGTACAAGTACTGTACTTGTTTTAAAAGGGTCGTGTCTCTCTTTTCAGCTGTGCGTCATGGGTTCTCCCATCGACACCCAAGGAATTTCGTGAATAGCTTGCTTGAGACTCAATAGCTTGCTTGAGACTCTCTCTTCTCATCACTAGGCGGGTCAAATCGATATAATAGTCCAAGTCCAAGTATGTCCATTTGGAGTCTATCAGGGTCTGTTGAACAGCAGTACTCTCTCGCTTCATGCCTGCTGCTGCTTGCTTTGCCCCTGCCCTCCCAGCACAACGTCACGACCCCAATCGGTTCGGCACCAGGAGTGACTTCATGAACTTCATTGCTGGGCACGAGACCTCAGGCGCGAGTTCCAAGCGTCCACACGAGTTCCGAGCGTCCACGCGAGTTCCGAGAGCCGCACGAGCCAAGGGCGGCTCCGGCTGCCGAAGCGGCCGGACGGACAATACCGATGACCAAAACAAACGGAGAGAAAAAAGGCGATCAAACTCCCAAAACATCCCAAAATTCAAAACAAAAACAGATCAACGTCCTCTAAATCGTCCATATCGTCCCTTGTTAGCAGGTGTTGTTGCTGTTCGTCCCATGCCCAAAAGTGGATGTCCCAGTGTGGAGCGGGTTTGGGAAGGTCGTCATCTAGCCGTGATCTCCTTCTACAAGTACAAGCTTCTCCAGGATTTCGGAGAAAGCACCAGCTGAAAGATTAGTAATCTGAGGAATCAAACCAAGCCCCATCCACGTTTGGACTCTTGTTGAAGGTACTGCTGAACACTTCGCCCAAATCTGCCAACCCCCGCACGTCTCCCGCACGTCTCCCCCACTCTCCGGCCCCCTCTCGGTGCTCCCCACGGGAAGATGCTTTCTGCGATAGCGTGTCCCGCCGAACCGGTCTACGCCCAAAGGAACGGCGAGCCCGCCGAGCGGTGAGAGAACGGTCGGGAAGCGCGGTGAGAGACCGGCAGTCGAGACGGAGTGGCAGGCTTGGGAAGGTCGATCCCTCCATTCTCCAAAAAGAACGGCACAAACGATACTCCGAGACGCCAACGATGAAAATCAACATATATCAATGGCAATGGAAATTAACTAATGCCTATTCCCGAAGTGGGTCACTGCAGGGTCTATGGGGCCTCAATGAGCTGAGAGTTTTGGGGTTCTCGAGTTCAAGCACAGAACACAGGGGTTCGATACGATGTTCCCATACATCGTTTCCCCACGTCATCCATGTCCCGGTATGCCGACATCCACCGAAGCGCCCAAGCGGTGCCTGCTGGATCCATCCAAGGGGGGTCGTCACCAGCCACTCCCGGTCACTTCAAGATGCCACCCATCCAATCGCATCCAAGCGGGAAAGATCGGGAACCCCCAAGGGAGCACCCATCGAAGAGCTCTTCACCACCAGCAGAAGGCACCACCGAAGCAGACCACCTGGCGAATTTGGAGTTAGGGGCACTTGAAGACTGCAGGTGTCCTGTGGCATGAATCTTCCAGTGGCCCAGCGTTCAAAAGCCTCTCCCCAATCCCTGTTGGAATCACTTCTAGATCTTGAAGGGCATGTTCTCCATTCTCTTCAATTAAGGGGGGGAGACCGTGGAACTACAAAGTCTAAGTCTACCCGCCGGGTACACCCAGCCACCGGCACCGAGCCGTGGCGTGAGGCTTAGGTCCTAGGTCACACCTGGCAAAAACTGGTACCCACTTTCGCCACCAGCGATCCACTGAAGAACCTGAAGATCCTGAAGGGAAACTAACAATTCACCCTCCCAGCCTCACAGTGTAACCCACTGAAGAGTCATCTCCTTTCCGGTTAGTCCTTTGGAAAACCACTGCGCCTGACCCTTGGGAATCTCACCCAAGGCCCACACCTCAAGCACTGTCCTCCGCGTCCTCCTCGTCCTCCGCGTCCTCCGCTTGTCCCGACCACGTGGAGCCCGCGGGACACCGCCTTCGACCCCGCAGGAGCTCGCTGGACCACTTCGACCAGGGCTCATCTCTCAACTCTTCACCTTTCGCCGTTCGGTCCGGAGCGATGGACGCGGAGCCGGTGTCCGGAGCGATGGAGGTGGGGTTAGTCCTTTTGGGGCACGAAGACAAAGAGCGAAGACCTCACTTTTTGCCTTTAGTGTGACCTTCAATCTTCTTATTCAACATCCAAACATATCCAAACATATCCAAGCAGACCAACTGACGACCCCCAAAGTCTCCCAAAGCCTCCAAACCCCGACGAATGATGCCACCCATAGTTGATACCAAACCATGTGGCTCGCTCCGGCCGCCGGGCCCCCCGACTACTGGGTGCGAAGCTCTCACAACTTGGAGCCGCCGTCATCCGCCGTGCCGCCTGAAACTACGACGGGTCGGACGTGTGAAGCGGAAACATTGATTTTCATGGTGCTGCTTGGGTGTTTAATTACATGTGTTTACTATTGTTACTATATAATATGTGGTTTAAATATATATATATATAACAATAGCATATATATATAACATATAATATATACTGTAATATACAACACTAGGATAGGGACATATGGTTCTTACAGCGCTCCATGCCCAAGCTTTACATTCGCTTGGAAGCGCGCTTTGGCCGTCGAAACAATCTGCAATTCTTGTAAGATGTACTTACATGGCTGTACTACTTTACTCTGCAAGTAGGCCATCATCTCTTGAGGCAACAACATCCGAAATCACTTGCAATTTGTTCGTTGGTTGTGATGCCGAAGATCAGGATGGGTCAATGATGCTTGGTGGAAATCGATATATACAGTAAGTCTTGTATCTTTCGTTGCCTAAGAGTCGCCTCACACACCTCGGGTTTTGACTCCTGTCCAGTCCAAGGATGCTTAGGATAGGCTCATTTGGGCCCAGGTAGATAGAGAACTACCCCGTCTCGCACGCCCCAAGCACCCAAGCACCTCCTGAACATCCATCGCTGCCTGGAGAAGGGCTCGGAGAAAAAAACGGCAGGCGTAAACGCTACACGATCTGTGTCGGTTTACCTGTTCTCCTGCAAGCACGCTCCGATCGCAAATCGTCCTTCCCGCTCCCTTTGAGTAACCACTCCCCTGTGATGTCAATTCCATCGTTCTTCTTTGCCAGCGTGTCCCTTCGGCAACATAGTTGTTGCACAAGTTGAGCAGCAGAAAATGGTCCCAAGTTGAGCCGTCAGACAGGTAGAACTTGCATGAGTGTCTGCAGAATGTACTGTACCCTTCTGATTCTCAGATCTTCCCCTTCCTGGTCCGCAAGACTATTCTTCAGCTCTTCCTCTTTCTGCGATTATGCCTCTCTGAAAGAAACTCCATTGTCTCCCGACTTCGCTAGCTAGCCCATGCACGCTGCGCTAGTTGTGCTGGCTGGCTTGGCTTTGCCTTGCTCCAAAAATACAAAAAACACATCCAACGCCGCACCCCGGTCCGGTCCCGGCTCCCCGTCGTGCCTGGCCCTCCCGTGCTGCGGCCACTGCCAGGGCGAAAGCGGAGCGCAGCGGCACCATGGCGACGCGTGAAGCGAAGCGACGCGTGGAGTTCGGCGGCTGAAGAGGGCTGAATCAGAGGTTTCTCATCATATCAATATGAGTTGGCGCGCCGTGATCTCATTCGTTTTCCGCAGCTGGTGCAGCTGTGCAATCCTCAGACGGAGCAAGCTCCCGTCCCAGCCTGGCTGAAGGGGACATCCTGAGGATGGCAGTTCCAAGATCCGAAGATCTGAGGTTCGTCGTGTTCTCTAAGGTTCACCTGCCCGGCGCGATTTCGCTTGGTCCGGGGGACAACCAAAGCTTGGGCCGGGACGGAGCGCGCGGAAGGTGTCTGTCTGGGTGGACAAATGGAACGCATGGAACGCCAGCGGAGTCGGAAAGACCATAAAGACCTCCGGGTGTTCTTTCAGTAAAGAAGGCAACATTAATAAGTGTGTTTTCTAGCGTTCTTTTGACGACCTCGGGGTGATCTGGCGTGTGGTTCTTTCTGGCGACCACTTCGCCGGCCGCCGAATGCGCATTCTCGCGCCTTCTCGCGTTCGGCGGAGTCTGAGAGTTCCCAAGCTCCCCAAGCAAAGCGTTTATCCAATTCCAAAAATACCGACTCAATGAGGCTAATCAACAATGAGTCAACAAATACTACTCCAAGGGCCAGAAAGTACTAAGTCAACAGTCTGAGACTTCCAGCAAAAAAAAACACTGCTCAATGAGGTTTTCCGGACCAGGTTTGGACCAGGCTCAGACCGGAGCCGGACTCCGAAATCTCCTGTGCTGACATCACCATGCATCACCTAGCTTCTCCAGTCTCGACGAAGCTGTCAGAGCTTCACACCAGATTCACTGCCTGAATCTCAAACCAACAATAATTCTAGGTGCCCAAAGACCCGTGTGCACCACCCAGGGAACCGAGAAGAAGTTTTCACGTGCTCAAGTCATGTGCGCTCATCTCAACACCCCAGTCTTTCACTGTGCAATCGTGTCATGTTTTGCCCAGGTCTTGAAGAAGCTGAAAGGGAGTCCTGCCCAAACAGCACCCTGCGCGCAGCAAAAAGAAAGAGTCCTGCCATCAAAAAACACTGGCACTGAACAAGTACTTCAAAAAGGAAAGGGCGCCTGTGATGTAGACAGTTGATTAGCGAAACCCTCGCAACAGAATGGCGTTACATCCTCATATGGAAAGTTTTACAATAAACCATCATCTGCCCACCTCCTGCGTGCCAACTGTCCCACCTCCCCATCGTGGCCATTTAAACCTTCGTTGGCGGACACGCGTGTGCGCGCCCCCATTCGGGGACGGACTTCAGTTTTGTACATGCGCACTCAGAGGAGGCTGTTGTTTTCTTCTGCGCTGCCAGGATAAATTCCCCATTCCGCGTTTTTCTCACTCTGAAAAGTCAAGCTCATCTTTGTAGTCATCTTTGTATATACGCCTTTTGGATTGTTCTAAAATTCTAAAACTAGAGACTGTTGAAATGATCGATCCCGGCTTTGTGAGCTTTCTTGTTGCACATCGCGAAGATCAGGCTGGCCCACCAGTTGCCCCAACCACTCGATTGTGTATAAAGCCAGATACCAAAACAAATTTGAAGTGCTTAAGTTTTGTACCGGGTTCACTTGCTTCGCTCTGTCTTCAGCAAAACAGTTTGAAGATGAAGGTTCACTTCCTAACCGCCAAGTCGTCTGGTTCGATCAACGAAGTAAGTAGGGTTCGACTTTGCACCCAAAATCATCCAAAACCTGGATGCGATCCAATCCTCTCTTTCACTTGAGGGCCACCCTGGATAGCAGGCGCCAGCCCTGTTTTTGAGAATTGAAACCTCTCGCAGATGGCGCAAGCAACGTTGCGTGTAGCTGATGAAGCCATTTCAGAGTGTGCCATTTCAAGAGGTGGCTCAACATATGTTATGGCACAAAAGAGATCAAATGAGTTTGTGCCATCTACTAAGACAACCATCAGATTCCTTTCGATTCTAACGAGTGCTACCGCCTCTCATGGGCCGCGTGGAGCGCCCACCATCTCATCTCGTCCGAATTTCACCGGTAGTAGCTGCCGTAACGCCTGCGCGCGCTGGCGGGTCTTTCATTCTGCCAACTCGAAGAATCCTGTTCATCGCACACCCTTGTTTCAAACCAAAAGCCATACCCGCTCATTGGCGTGTATATATATATATATATATACGGTCTATCTTATTAGATGCATGTTACGACGGGACATCGGAACACTCTGGAAGAGCGGTGAAGGCTCTGGCGGTCGGTGTTTGAAAAGCTACGATTACAGTATACAAACATACTAAACCTGATAGGATTCAAAAGCATACTGCCAAGGTAGCCCCCAGGCCCAGATTGACATGGAAGACCTGCTAATGATCTTTTCAGCGACTCAAACATAGGGTGTTGTTTTCTGTTGTGATGGTTTTAGAAGGTTACGGCGTTCGTCAAAGTCAGAGATGGGATCAGGGAATACTAAGAAGATGGAGGTGGCAACTGTTCTGGCAAATAGCATTTGTTGCAATAGAGAATCATATGGCTGACCGGCCAGCCACCAGCATGCTTCCCATGTGAGAGATCGTTCGTGTCATGGCAATCAGTTGATTTTATCTGGCTCAGCGGTTGTTCACACGTTTTTCAATTGTGTTTCCACGTTTCTCGCCATTTGTTTCCACCTTTTGGCTTGGTTCACAGTTGTTTCGACTTTCTTTTAGCTGCTAATGCTTTATTCTGGACATCACATCGACCATAGCGTGCGATTTCCGTCCTCAAAAACTGACCTGGACCGTCAGGGTGTCCGGGCTGGAGATCTCTCTAAGTAGTAGGGTAGTCGAGCCAGGACACCCCGATGGTCCGCTCAGGTCCGCTCGCTCGTCAGTGCCTTAAAGACAGAAACCTGCGGCTCCAAAAGACCAGCTGCCCCATGCGACAGGTCGCCAGCAACTTCTTTCGCCTGGCGGTCCGGCGGTCCTCTATTGATTCACGAAACGGTCACATGTTGGGGGTAGTTCAGGATGTGATTGGGGCGCTCCTGAAGCGTGTGGGGCGCTCCGGTGGCTAGCCACATCCGCGCATCGACCCAGGGAGATCCACAGCCACCGTGCGCCCCCACGGGCGATCCGCACCGGGGCACCACTGACGCCTCACGTATTGCTTCCAGGTTCTCTTCGGCTTGACTGCTACCAGCGCACCTCATGGACAGAGGAGCGCGAATGTTCTTGACCATCAGGAGAGTCGTTTTGATATGGTGGCGCATTGGGGTGGTTTGAGGGGTCAATGTATGTCAATGTAAGCAAACATAAATGGAGTGTCTGGGATATACGTATTACGGAAAAAATATATTGGGTATCCCTGGGTGATGGATGCCATCGACTGATCCTATGAGAGGGTGAAGAAGAAACGTCCCAAAGCAGAAGCAGGACATATGGCCGGTGGTCTTTCTAAGCACAACACCTAGATAAGGCATGTTGAAATCGAGCAGGTTTGCTCTGTTGTAGAGAAAACCCAAACCAAGCAGAAAACAGTTTCCATTGATTTGGGTGCATCGTAGAATACGCAAACCCTCCAACCAACGGGGTCGACCTGTTTCAACACACCTGCTGTGCCCATTTACAGCGCCCAAACAATTGAATCTTCCCCAAAGACCAAATGGGTGTGTATTTCAATAGGGAGATCCACCACCAATGGGTAGACTGGTCTATTTTCCCTTCTTCCAAGGGATCTTTGGAAGGTCTCCCTAGTTCAATACACACCCAAATGAACATGTTGGATCCACCCCTTGGAGTTGGGAAGGTGCACCCCTTGGAGTTGGGAAGGCTCCCCCAAACTCCATCAACTGGAGTGGGTTTTCCTTCAACCGGTGGGGGCACAGGTGCCAAACCCGGCAGAGCCGGAGTGGAATTCTGGCTGCCAGATGGAACTCTTGGGACATTTCATGAGAGAATGGGACATCTTTTTGGTACACTCTGACTCACTAACATGGAAGGTGGTCCCTTGGAAGACAGCTTTCCTTTACGAACAGAGGGTTTTCCACTTCCATGTGATGCGTTCGTCGGAGTGTAGCTGTGTTATGCATGCTATGCTGTCCTCTCAGCCCATGATCCACCCACATATTTGGGAGGGAAAAAAAGCAGCGGCACCGTGCCTGCTTCGCCTGTGCTCTCGGACGCCTCCGAAGAGGGCCTAAGAGTGGCAGAGCGCGGGAGCGGAGCGTCAACGCCATCTTCGTGCAACACCTCGAGTCGAACAAACCTCAAGATAGAAATGTGAACTCCAATGCATGTTTAAGAGATGTCTCAGAGAGGTGGACACCTTTGGGTAGCACATGGTAGCACAACAGGGTTTCACCGGTTCATTTTACGTTACTCTGTTTGACAAATGTCTGATGTATATGTATCTATGAATCCATTGTCAAACCCAGTCAGGTCTATTGAACCCACCTTCCAGCGTCATCGGAGCCAAATGGTAATTACTGGCAACTGATGGCAACTGCCACACGCAACGTCTGCTCACCAAATTACCAAATTTAGGAAACGTCTCGCGATCGGGCCCAAACACGTCCAGCACAAACAGCAACAGACATCTGGATGTTTGGCGACGAGAAGCACCCCAACGCGCTGAGACACCCCCACGCGCTGCCCATCCTCAAGAAATCCAGAGGCGACCAATGCCACACCTGGCCGGGTCAGGCTGACCGGCTCGTCGTTTGTCTCAGCACCCGGTCCGGTGGTTATATATCCTTGGCGGATCGACACCGTGGTGTGACGAACGGCGCTGTCGGCAGCTTCTGTTTAGTTGGTGTCAAGCCTTGAAGAGATAAACAGCTGGGAAAATTTAACATGGAACCTTAGTAATATCTTTAAATTGACCTTTGGAAGACAATGTTCCTCTACAATCCAGTGGTTTTCAGGTGGATTGAAAAAATGGCACAATCCCCAAGGTCGGTGGTTGATGTTGGACCTCCATCTGTCCAAGGCACGTTGGGGGGCGCCAGTGCCATCCTGACCTCCAATCTCCATACAATGGTGTATGTTGGGGTGCTTTATTGATCAGCCATCCCTGAAAACATGTTTTTAAGAAAATCAGCCTGTGAAGTCTTGTCTAGCTGAGTCCTCACCCAGCAACCAACCTGGTTTTGGGTGGAACTGCTCGGCTCCCTCCACCGAGTTCCCCTTGTGGTCGCCCCGGGCCCATCGGGCACCCCATCCGTCTCCAAGGACTTGTTTGGGACTGGAACAGGTCAGACCGGGGGTGGTCGATGATTGCAGAATTCCCCTCTGGTGCCCCCCCGGACAACGCAGAACTTGAATCATTCGTGCCCCCTCCTGTTCTCTGTTTGGACAAACACCCGCATGTTCCCACCGATCCATGCCCTTTCTGGAGGGTTCACCCGTGGGCCTTGTCAATCAAGCGCCGCCTGCACTGGGGATGATGACCGTATCTCTACTTCTTGGCTCGACATGACAGCCCCCCTCAAGAGAGAAACATCAAGAACTAAAGGGACATCAGCCACATCAGCAAGATTCAGCAAGTCTTCCTAGGAATATGTGCAAAGAGATGTAGTACGTTCTGTGGTACAAACGACGTTGTCAGGACCGGTCCGGAGAACGACTGGCTCTTCGAAGACTCGCGGTCGTTCTCGCGCGACTCGCTGCGCAGCGCAGCGCAGCAAGCGGTCGTTTTCGGCGCAGCTTTCCATCGGGCAGGGCGCGTTCCGGAGGTCTGGCACCTGAAACGAGACACGGAATGAGGCATGAAGCACACTCGCTGGCAGAAGCAAGTTCGTGGCTTTTGGCTTATTGATGGAAGCTGTAGAACTTATCCCATTATATCCCACTATATCACTATATATATATATATAAGTACATACTGCATGCAACGAGATGCAAAGAGCCTTTGAACTCACTAGTCACTGTCTTCCGATCAAACTACCCATGCCCATCCAACGACGTTTCAAAATCTCCCCCTCCGACCGATCCTTACGCGAAAAAGCACTTGGAAACACGTGGGCCGGGTTTCCTGTTCATGTCTGAGCCATGCTGACGAACATCTTCCACCCGGCGCCGCCACGCCTTGGAAGCAGCCTCCCCGGCCTCCGAGACGGCCCCCCCGACCAGTCCTGCAGTTCGGTCGACCACCACTGGGCCGAAGCCTGCAAGACGCCGGCCAACACCTGGTCCGCCGGTGGGCGGCGCGGGCGGCGCGGGCGGAGGTTCGAGAAACGTGGCGCTGGTGAAGAAGTAGCACAGTCGATGGATTCCTCAAGATGTTCCCAACCAGCCGGACACACATGAGGTCAAACAAAGGAAACAATGTGCAAAGGGTTACAAAGGGTACAAATATGGGATGTGACGTTGGAAAGAATAATCAAAATATCCTGCAGTGTTTTATGCTCCAGTAGTCCTGTATCACCCATGGATGCGTGTTGAATACCCCGTTGCATGGGGGTGATCTAACAGTAAAAGAAAGCTACGGCCAAGCACACCTGGAGAAATATCCTAACGACGGCGTTCCAGTCATGCCAAGCGCACCTGGAAGGCCTTCACGGCCACAGACATGTCTCGGGTGTAGACCATCAAGAGCCCTCGCTGCGACACATGCACCTCAGTCTGACACACTATGATTCAAATGATTCTATGGTACTCTTGCTTGATGGTTCAATGTGGTTGAACAGTCATCTGATAAATTGCTGTAGTAATGTTGGGTGCTGGTTAGATCAAAAGGAATGGAATAATCAAAACCGATCGCAAAAGAACTCCCTTTAAAACAATTAATAGCCAAGTGTTTCTGACCCCAGCATTTCTTTCAAAATCTATTATATTCCTCACGCACTGGTCCAAAATTTTGTTCAAGGAAGGAGTCCATAAGCAACCTGGGATTGAATTGACTATATGGTTTACGAGGGAGGGAGGGGAAATCATATTTTAAGGGGCACCACAATTTTAACGGGCACCACAATCAGAACGCAATGACAACTAGGGGACGACAAAGGCCCACCAAAGTAATGCACCTTCCGCGCGAAACGAACATGGGGTCTCCTAGTTGGGGGAAGTCATGCCAAGTGGTCAGAGAATGAAGACTTCAAGCCACTCTACCGCTTAGGTCCGCAGGCCGCGAAGACTTTGGGCGCCGCTTGTTTTTTATCTGTGTTTCATGTTGTTTATATACTATTGTTCTATGTTGTCCTTTTTGTCCGGAACAAAAACGTTCTATGTTGTCCTTTTTTTGCCGGCACCAAAAACGCAAGTCTCACTGAGCTGAGCATGGTGGCAATGCCGTCCTCGACCTTTGACAAACAAGCACGCAGGCTGCCGTGCATCGAGTTTGCAAGACCACAGCTGTTCTGTGGGGTCCGTCTTGAGCTGCATGGTGGAGAACAGGTGGGCATTTCCACGAGCGTTAGCCGTTGGGAGTCCATCTTGAGGGTCCTTTTGTTTCTGGTTGGGCGCCACTGTGGGCAAGAGCACTCACTGTGCTTGCGCGAAGCCCACCACAAACCCTGCACCCTCACCATTAGAACCCCTTAGTTGCGGACATTCTGTTTGGGAAAATAGAATGAAATAGAGACATCCCACCTTCTTCAGCAACGGTGAAACGCTTCTCCGACCGAGCAAACACAAGAATTCACATGATAAGCCTGCCATTGCCGTGGCGGCTGCTAGAAAAATGCTACAAATAGAGAAAACTGAAGTGGCAATTGGATGAAATCGATTGTTCAAACAGTTTTGAACATAAACTGTTCGAACAAATGGTTGTATACAGAAATGTTTGGAACCCCCAAACAAGTTCAAACGGGGAACCCCCCATCTCAGCTGGAATTTGCCGATTGGATCGCAGTGGGTCGTCATGGTCATCTTCACCAAGTGGCGCGAAGGTTTCCGAGGTCCTGGTGCAGGAGGAAGGTTCTTCTTTTCGGCCAGTTGGACATCCGAAAAGTAGGAACCGTAGTGGATACAGTAGGCCTACTGGCCATGTATCTCCCAGCCGGCCAGGAACTTCACCTAGAGTTAGAATTTGCAGTATATATTTCTACTGAACAAAAAAGAAGTACCAAAAACTCCCAGACATGACGCCGCTGAAACACTGAAACGTAGAGAAAATACGAGTTCCTGACCTGACAATGTAGTTCCATATAGTTCCATCTTGGAGCTTTTGCCTGTTTGATGTCTCTACGGTCTAGGAAGTCTACGGACACCCCTGTTGCTCAAACGAAGCCGTGCACAAAACTGGAAGTCCAGTTGGTGCCCCACCACCCAGCACTTCAAGTCTCCTTCACCTCGACCACCAATGTGGACCTGCGGCCGATGCGGCCGACTCCGTCCACGACATCCGTCGCTCGGTTCTCAACCGAAGAGCGTGCGGGAGGGTGCGACCAAGTGTTTGGTGTGCCAATTTGGGACATAATACAACTGTAGGAAACAATAAGATACAAAAATCTGACAACACAGGCGTATTGTTTCATTGTTTTCGTCTACTTATATAATACAACCGTAGGAAACCCTGCCACAACGCACCCATTGAGTCCTCTCTCTCCGTTAGCTTCTCTTAAACCGGATTCACCACCGAACATATCACTCCTGATCCTTCCAATTGCACCAACACGCCGGGTTTCGCCGGCGCCTGGTTTCGCTGGTCAGGCGCAAACCGTCTCCGGCATCGGCGTCCAGCAGCTTGGCCACCGAGTGGTTCAGGTCAATCCTAGGCGACCGGGCTGGGCCGGTCGAAACCGCCCGCAATCGGCACGACCCGAATGTGCCGAACAGGGACCGCCCACATGTGGGACGGAACGCTCTGGGAACATCCCTAGGGATGTTCCAACGCAGATGGGTCAAGCGACGAGTTCGGTCTTTGAAATCAACACTTGCACAAATGTGATGATGACCCGGGAGGTTTTGCGGCACCACCAGTTTCTGGGCATCCCATTTTGTCTAGAGTCTAGCGCCTCGTGTTTATCCAACAAGTACTGCAGTGACATGCAGTGACCCTTCAAGAACCAAGCTGTCAATTTTCTATAGTAAAATGCTCGGAAAGCATGGGAAAACAAACATGTTTTCTTCATCCAGGCCGCCAGGCATCTGTCGATATCCTTTCTGCTAGCATCCGATTTCTCATCTTAATTGCTTTGTTGAACTATCGACAAATGTGGAAAATTGGCATGACCACCACAGCCACGCTCAGTTCTTTTTTTAATGATCCACTTGAGACGGCAGTCGACGCAGCCAAGGCGCGAAAATGGCAGATTGGCTGTCACCGACATGCACTGCACCTGCATGAAGCAACAACTCAGGCTGTCGTGCTTGCCATGCTTGCCGTGCCTGGCCGTGCCTGCAGCCTTGTGCCAACCATGTGGTCTTGCAGGAACACCCTCCCAAAACGCTGCTCATCATACAAGTAGTAGGCTAGCTAAGGCCAACTCCTTCTGAAAAAGATTCTAATTTGGGTCGTAAACACGTGTGATCCCCTTCCACCTTCTTTACTCTCCTGCCTGCTTCCATTGTCTTTCCCAGAAACACCCAGCTCCATCCAACAGCGGATTTCTTCGGATCCCGGAGATACCCCTCTCCCATAGTATCCGACCGCCGCGCACCTGCCAATCTTTGAAGGTGACCGCCGCGCAATGGACGCGCCGCACGATGCCTGGCGCCACCACCGCGCCCACCGCGCCACACCGTGGCTGGAAAAGCCGAGGTGGAACTGCGATGCCATGGTTTCATGGTGCAACGGGGGCGGTGGGGGTTTACCCACTCCACATCCACGTTGAAAAAGTGCTTGCATTTTTTGGACCTTCGGTATATTCACATCGCTGGTCGGGAACCAATCATACCACACCAAATCAAAATATTGTCACGTACCCCATAAATCCCATAAGATGTTAGGCACGAGAAGATTCAACAAAAAGGTGTGGATCTTCGTTTGGAACGGTTTTCCAGTTTCTTTGACTTCCTCTTTTCCACCAAACCTCAAATTTGATACCCATGGCAATTCTGCTAGGGGGCCTTACTGCTACCCATTTTATAGATATAACATGGTAATTCTACCCCCTGTGGGACTATGTTTTGAACAACTAACCTTAAACCCAAATATATAAAATCACCTCCCCCAACCTAATTGCGAGTGGCTTGGAGACATGTATGGACATGCTTTGGATGGATCACCGTGGAAGATTACAGCTTGGGCCCCACCCCCTTTCCGAAACCTGTCTTTGGATGGATTCCCCTAGGCTTTTGAAGCCATCAGCCTCAAATCTCTTAGGATTTGTGTCTGGTGGTGGGTTGAATTATGGATGTTTTTTGGCAATCTGGTGTCTCTGGGGGTGTAGTGCCCTTTATGACCCCCTGTTTGTTCATAGTTTCATTACGTTTGTACCGGTCCTGGTAGTGTCAAATTTCGCAAGTCAAGGCGGTTCAGTTCAAAAAAGAATCATAATTTTTGAGCTGGTTGAACTTAAAGCAAAAACCATAATCAATCCCAATTCTTGTTTCAGTGCAATCCTCGTGTCTGGTTCCACTTTATCAACGGCCAATCTCAGTTTGACAAGTAGGCCAAAATTAAGAATGTATGCGACAGGTTTAAGTTTTAAGAAAACCACAAAGACATACAAACAAACACACACACTTATGGATATGCATACGGACTGACAGCGGTGCCACACGCCGGCCTAGGATACCAATTCCTAAGAGTACAAGTAAGAACCACGGATCCTGGAGGTCTTCAAAAGGAGAAATGGCCCAAAGCGGAAGAACCCAATCGACGATCACGGGTCGAACAAGATGACGGCGGTCCGTGCACATCTGCAGAACTCACTAGCACTTGACGACACTTCTCAGCAAATGTTAAAAATCAAGCAGGTACACAGAGCTGATCAGGCTCTGCTTCCCAGATGCAAGGTAGCTTTGTTAGGCGCAGTCCCTTGCATCTGCTGCGCCCCCCTGCTGAAGTAAACGAAAACAATTCAAAAGAATCCCTGTGACTACAAGGGGCACACACACACACGCCTCCCCAAGGGGAGGCTGTTCTTACCTAGTAGCGTCCTTGCACCTAGTAGTAAGGCCAGGAGCCCCTAGTAGCGTCCCGTACTAAGGTCCCGACAGGAGGGAGGGGAAGGGAGAGAAGAGAAGAAAGAAAGAAGAAAGGAAAAAGGAAAAGAAGGTGTTCCCAGCTACGACACAAGCGTCCAAGGACACACCAAGAGAAGAAGAGAAGGGTTGCCAGCTATGACGAAAGCATCCAGCGACACCCAAAAGAAGAAGGAAGAGGGAAAAGAGGGAGAGAGGAAAAAGACCGAAAACAGGTGTTCCCAGCTACGCGCAAGCGTCCAGGGACACACCAAGGACCAAATTGGGCAATGACCTCAGCTCGGGGACGTTGTGCCGGATGGTTTGGGCTTTCTTCCTGGCAGCTAGAAAGCAACAGTTTTCGTAGTAAAAGTCGGACCAACATCCATCTTGACGCATGTGATCTTCCACTGGGTCCACCTCTGAAGACTTCTGCTGGGGTTCTCCCGAAAAGCTCCTCGCTCATGTAGGTTGATCACACGCTGGATCGCCAACAGGTAATCGCTGACTCTATTGTCTTTCTCTACCCGGTCCTTGCTGGCACCTGTCAAGGTGGGGAGCCCCCGAGGAAACTTCTCGGTTCGCAAAGGCTTCGGAGCATTCGTTCCTGGCAGCTTGATTTCACGAATTCGACTCTTGGTGGAACAATCGATGGCAGCACTCACAAGGTGGCACTGAGGCAGCACTCACAAGGTGGCACTGAGGCAGTACTGCATTGATGGCTTTCTGTACGGAAGGCTTGACTGAATCAAATTCACTGTCAATGAGAAGGTCGATTGGTTGAACAATTTTCCAACCAGCCCACTCAAACGCCTGCGCTAACGGGAAATGCGGTCCGGACAGCAAATCCAAAAAGACAGGGACCTGAGGCTGGTCATCCATTCTGGATAGTGTCAACATGCTGGTGGAATTCTTCCAAAGCGCCTGGGGTGCTGGAAGGGCCCGGATTCTCCGGTTGCGAAACTATACTTTCCCCCTCTCAGAGCTTCTGCTTGTTGTTGCACCTGCTCCCTGTGTGATACGGATCACCGCAGATGCGCCCGCTCTTCAGCTTGTGTGCGCAACGGTGCTCACCATTCGGGCACCGAGCCTCGCGCTGCCGATCACAGCGCCCATGCTGCCACGAACCACATAGCTTTGTTCCATCACGGAAAGTGGTCGAAAGCTTCCCAGCCTTCTTGTCGCCTCCTCGGGCAGCTGGCGGAGTCCCCGCCGGCTCAGGTGGCGGCCCACTGGCCGATGCTCCTTGAGGGTAAATGGCCACCGCTGACCTATGCACATCCCTCTCCATGAAGATGCGATAAACAATCGCTCCAAGCTTCTCCGTGCCGGTGGAATACTTCTGGCACCAAACAGCCCTCTCGTTCAGATCCAGAGAGGAGATGTGCGGGAGCTTCATGCGCTCACCAATTTCTTTGCTGGCCTCCACTGCACGAAAATGGTACTTCCAGGCCAGGCCCAATGGAAACTCAACATAATCATGAGACAGAGTGGCAATCGACTCTGCCTCGGTCGGCGCTGGGAGAATGGGGCCGGCCCCTGCCATCGCCAACGCGACCATGTAGACGAACAGGCACTCCAGGTAGGATGCACAATCCTCCTGCACAGCCTGCTCCTCGTCGGCGGGTTCCCCGACCCAAACCATGGGCGCAACCTTCCGTCGCTTGGAGGTAGCGACTCGCTGGTTGGCCAAGGTCCGCACCTGGAACATGTTCATCACCTCCAGGTTCTTCTTCTGCAGCGCTCGGCTCAACTTGCTCAGCAGCTTATCACTTGGCTGCTGTTCAGGAGGCGGCAACCAATGGTAGCGCTTCCAAAACACCTCCTTCATGGAGGAAAGGGTACTGGCTGGAAGGCACTCATCCTCCTCAAGTGGAACGCCCTCCACTTGGCTCGCATCACCAGCCTTCTCGGCCTGCGCAATTGAAGACCAGGCGCGCTTCACACGCGCAGCTTGCAGCCGCGGCTTGTCCAGCTCAGTAATCGGGGTGACAAAAGTCTTCACCACATCTTCTTCATTGGAAGAGTAAAAACGAAATTCGGAAAGCGACGTCACACCGGTCGCAAGAATCTCCTTTGCGATGGCTTCATCATAGTCGAATCTATCCTGCAGCTCCTTGAAAACAGCTTCAGGGGTCGACATGGCTGGTGCTAAAAGCAATTGGGACACTGCAGATAGCTTGACACAAAGAAGGCTGAACATTGAGGAAAACAGCTCGACTGAATCAAACTGCAAAATTGCATCTATTCCGAACTAACATCTGTCGGGACCTTCAGTCTGTGAATGGCATTCGGCCAACGACGCGGACCCTTCCGGCCTGACGCGGCTTCTCCACCAGACTTTTCATACTCCTGGCGAAGCTCACCAAGGGCGGTCCCAGTGCCCCAGGACTTCAGGGGCCGAATCTACCCTAAGTACTCAGTCAGCTCATCAAGCAGCTCAACTTCCGGTAGTGCAGCAAACGGGCTGCGGCAAGCCTCCACGGCGCCCCCCAGTGCTGCTTGAAATTGCAACCCTGACATCGCGTCCAGGTTCAAGGCCCAGGCAACCAAGTACTGCTGGCAATTGGCTGCCTCACGTTGGCAGTTGGTGACCTCGGGTTCAGGGAGCGGGGGTGGCGCATCGTGAACCAAGTGCCGCACAACTGAGAACCCATTCAGCATCTCCCAAATAATACCTTTCAGCTCAGAGAGGAAAACCATCCACGAGGGCCCCAACCAGTGTACTTCAACGGGAAACGAATCAACCAACTCGTGCAGGAGGCTGATCTGGCCAAACATGATCCACAAGGATGGGAGAAAAGGTGCTTCACGAATGGGGTACTGCAGCAACAGCAGCCGCTGGATCGACATGGCAGTAGGGCTAGCCATCTTGAATGCTGAAAGCTAAACACAAAAAGAAACGCTCTAGACAAAACCACAGCATGGTCACAGCAGGTTCTCACGGTCCGGACCGCAGAACTCGCACCTGTTTTCCTCGGGCGACGGGACAGTCAGCGGGGCGTGCGCCAGGCGACAGCTGACTCTTCCAAAATACCGAGTGCTCCTGCTGGCATGAATTGCGCGCAATTGCGGCAGAAGGGCCTTTCATGCACAATGCCTCTTGCACAGAGTCTGCAAAGCAGACATTGCTCTTAAAGAATGACTCCCGTTTCTTCCACTGACAAACGGGGTTGGGCGCATCTGAGTTGAAATCGATGGGCACTACGTGCCACAAGGACTTGTCCGCTTCAGCTGAAATGAATCTCAGCGGAATCGCCGCGAAGTTCTCGGGCAAGGACTCTCCTTCGGCGCGATCGTGCACCCACTTGGTGAACTTCCTGTAGCGATCGCCCAACATCTTGTGGTGCTCAATGGCCCTGACAGAGGCCAAATGCTTCATGGACTCATCCAACGACTGCCCCTTCAGGGCGCTGAGGATCATCCCTGTTCCCACCGGTGCTCGGTGTACACCGGCCATGCAGTGGATGTAGATGGAGCCTCCATTGCCTCCATGCTCCAGGGTTGGCCGCACCAGTGGCTTGAGGTGATTCCACTGCTGGTTGTGAATCCTCTCATCGGACACAGCAAACTAAACTTTGC